AGAGTTGTTCCGCGGACCGGTATCGGTCCGCGGACCGGCGGTTGGGGACCCCTGCTTTAGGGTAAGACAGCGGATATATTGGGTACTAGGGGCTCCAACCATCAGATTCCTTTTCTCGCATCTGTATCGGTGTATAAGGATGGAAGTGACTTTAGTATAGAATAAAATAGAATTCTTTATTGGCCAAGTGTGATTAGACACACAAGGAATTTGTCTTTGGCGCATATGCTCTCGATGTACTAAGGAAAATATACATTCATCAAGAACTGTAAGATGCAACACTTAGTGATAGTTATAGGTTACTAATAGACAATCAAATCATACTAGGAAACAAAACAATGTAAATTGTAAAGATACAAGCAACACGGTTATAGTCATAAGTGGGAAGAGATAGGTATTAGGAAGGATGGTAAGATGAATAGTAATAGTAGTGCAGACTTTGTAAATAGTTGGACAGTATTGAGGGAATTAGCAGAGTGATGGCGTTTGGGGGAAAATGTCCTTGTGTCTAGTTATTTTGGTGTGCAGGGCTCTATAGTGTCATTTTGAGGGTGGGAATTGAAACAGTTTATGTCCGGGATGTGAGGGGCCTGTAGATATTTTCACAGCCCTTTTTTTTGACTCGTGCAGTATCCAGGTTCTCGATGGAAGGCAGGTTGGTAGCAATGTTTTTTTCTGCAGTATTTCTGTAGTATTGGACAGCAATGAGGGTTAAGCCTAGACCTTACTTGCATGTTCCATGGCTTAATCTTTTTCTTTATTCTTTATTTTTTTAAAAAAAACAACCCATCAGGAGTGGTCATATGCTAACCCACCAGAAAACAAAGCCCTTCATTTGCATAGAAGAAGGTTGCAACAAGAGCTACTCGGACCACCGATCGCTGCGCCGGCATTATGAAATGCACCACGGTTTGCGGCTGCTGAAGGAGGAGGAAGCCTGCGAGAGCACACCACCTCCACATGATCCACACGCCCAGAGCAGTTTGAGAGCGGCGGAAAGCCTGGCCGAATCGCCAGCGCCCAATCATTCCCTCCTGCCCAACCGAGACCTGCTGAGGTGTATCGTCAGCAGCTTGGTCGGCCCAAAGCTTCCGCCCGCTCCTCCCTCATCCACGGGGCAGGGTGAAACCGACTCCAGGGGGCCCTTGCCACCTTCCAGTTCGGTCTACAGTCAGATTTCGTGCAGCGCTACCGCCGTGAGAGAAACCCCTGGCGAGAAGGCGATGAAGGACATCTATCCTTGCCAAAAGAACTTGCCTTCCTCCAGCATGTACACTATAATCAACACGGGGAATTTATCCATACTTGGGCCATCGGAAAGCCATGCAAATTTGCCAGAGAGGCCTTCCCACGTGGAACGCGACTTCCCTATAGAAGCCAGCGCTTTGGAGTACTGGTCCAACAGCGGCATGCCTCGTTTCCCCTTATTCAGGGGCCAGAAGTTTCCTGCCCCCACCCAGCAGGCCAGCAGCGGCGTCCCGTGGGCCAGAAACGCAGGTCCCCCAGTCGGCCCCAAAGCCAAAGGACACGGCCTTTACGTCGCTCAGTTGTCTTCCGGCGGCCACGAAGCTTCCCAAGGGATCATGGGACCGTCCCACGCGTTTGACTCCGTGAGACCCACTTTCGAGTGTCCGGATGTTTTGCCGTTCCCTCCGGCTTCTTTAAAGACCCACGGGGAAGCGTCCGGAGAGGCCAGACTCCAGTGCTTCGAAGAGACGTTTAGCCCAGTGGCGAGACTCTCGGACCCCCCGAAACACAGCCTCCTTCCGAAGGGCGAGGCCACACCGCTCTTCCGGCAGCTGTTCGTGAAATCCAAGGAGTCCTCCTCCCTGAGCCAGGAGCAGCTCCAGAGCCACCTTTTCCAGAGGATCACCAAATCTCAGCACGTCGTGTCCCACACCAAGGTGTTAGCCCCGTCGAAGGAAGCCGAACCAGCAGGAGCCAAGCCGGCTCTCCGTGGCTTTCCGCAGCAGGCGGATTTGCTTCGCCCGGCCGCGCAGCCGGTGCAAAACGACGGGCCTCCTTCGACTCAGTTTCAAGGGGATTTTTTGCCTGACCTCGAAAAAGACGGGCACCAGCCGCCTTTGCCCTCTTTCCATTCGTCTGCCGTGCCCTCGGCAACCACCAGCAGCAGCGCTTCCCACGCCAAGCACTCCCGGCCTTCCAAAAGGTGCCTCGAGTGCAAAGACTTTTCCAGCCCCAACCAGTCGGCCTTGTATGAAAACACCCCAGGGAACCACACTTACGGGAAGCCCAGGGAGCTGGAGAACGACTCTCCTTTGCCCAGGAAGAAAGAGAAGGCCAAGGCATGTACGAAAGGACATTCCCGCAGCGGTAGACCCCGCCGGAAGGAGAAGCCCAAGTTTGATATCAGCTCCGTGGCCTCCCCTAGCCAAGTAGCCATGGCTTCCTTTTCCTTGCCCAGCACCTCGTTTGAGAGCGTGTCCAGAGCGAAGCCCAAGCTGACGATTTTCAACAGAATCCAGGCAGGTTTTTAAGGCCTTTTTTTTAAAAAAAAAAAAAAGAAAGAAATTGAAATAGGCCTGTGGAGATTATCAGTCCTCTAGGTCAGGCAGCTCAAACTCGATTTCATTGAGGGACACAACAGGGTTGTGTTTGACCTTGGGGGGGGGCATGGCCAGCGGGTGTGTCCAGCTCAACATCCGTTTTCAGATGTGACGGCCTCCTGCAGCCCTTTTGCCAGCGAAAACGCGCACCCCACCCCTACTCGAGCTCTGTTTTAGACCATCACAGCCACCACGCTTCTCCCCTGAGCTCCGTTTTCGCTGGCAGTGGCACCACGGTCCTTCACCGTTTCCAGGGCAGCCCCACGGGCAGGGGTGGGATTCAGCCTGTTCGGGCCGTTTCGGGCGAATCGGATGTTAAATTTACATCTGGTTCGCTGAACCAGTATTTGAACTGACGGGCTGGTGCCGCCCACCCTGCCTTCCCCTCCCCGGAGTCCCCACACAGCCCGTTTTGGATGCAGGTAAGTGCAGGAACCATGCAGATGCTCTGGGAGGGCCAAAAAACAGGCCAAACCGGAAGTTTGGAAACAGGCGTGTTTCCGGCTTCCGGAGCCTGGGGAGGGGAGGCCGTTTTCGCCCTCCCAGAGGCCCGAGGGAAGATTCCGGACTCTGGGGAAGGCGAAAAACGGCCCTCCCGGAAGTTCCGGTAGGCCACGCCCCCCCATGGCCACGCCCACCCAGCAGAGAACCGGTGGTTGATTTTTGAATCCCAGGCCCGCCCCACCCCACGGGCCAGATCTAAGCACCCCACGGGCCTTTTGACACCCCTGATGTAGGTCATGGTTGTCCCAAGAGGGCTTCTCCGAAAGGCAACTGGATTTCCTTGGTTTTTTTTCGCCCCCCCCCCCTTCCTTGAAAATGTTTTACTCCTGGTCCAGAACTGGATGAGAAGTGAAACGTTTCCCAGGGAAGAAAACAAAATCCACTTGCCTTTTGGGTGGGTGAAAGGCACCTTTGGGACAGACGGAAACCATCAGTTTTGGGGCTGATGAATATTTGGGATCGTATGTATTTTAGGAACCTGCCAAAAGTTGGCAGCCATGGTTTAGAAGGCCCTTGCACTAGTCACAAAAGAGCCACTGGGGTGGGCTTGGCTCCCAAAGATGTAAAAAAAATGCCCCATTTTTTAAAAGCAACCAAGAGTTAGAAATGGCAAGACACTAGAAAGAAAGGTGAGGTCCAAGCCACCGTTTGACTGACAACAAATTGGGAATGGTCAGTGAGGTACACAGAGGCGATACAGGTAGTCCTTGACTGACAACCGCAGTTGAGCCCAAAGTTTCCGTTGCTAAGTGAGACAGTGGTTAAGTGAGCTTTGCCCCATTTTAAGACCTACCTTGCTACCGTTGTTAAGTGAAACCCCTGCAGTTCTCAAATGAGCTTGGCTTCCCCATTGACTTTGGTTGTCGGAAGGTCACATGACCCCGAGACACTGCAACGGTCATAAATGTGAGTCAGTTCTCAAACATCCGGATGTAAATCACAGGGGATGCTGCAACGGTCGTATCTGTGAAAAAGGGTCATAAGTGGCTTTTTTCTGGTGCTGTTGTAACTTTGAACGGTCACTAAGTGAACTGTTGTAAGTTGAGGACTGCCTGTGTTCATAGGTGTGTATCTGTCTCAGCACCAGGAACCAAGCCTGATTTCAGAGGGTCTGATGTAAAGAAACCACCTGTGTGAAACGCACCATGAAACGTTTATGACAATCTTTACCTTGCAAAAGCTTCTGAATAATAGCCCTCATCTGTGGATTAAAAAAACCCCTATTTGTATATGTATTTAATTTTTTTCTCTTTCTCTCTCCTTTCTCCCTTCCTTTCTTCCTTCCTTTCTCTTTCTTCCTTTCTCTTCCTTCCTCTCTTCCTTCCTTTCTCTTTCTTCCTTTCTTTCTCCTTCCTTCCTTTCTTTCTAAAACGCAGGGTGGAAATATCTACAGCTTTACTAATGCAGTCAAGGAGGAGTGCTTTTTTCCTGGATGGTAAGCAGGGGTGTATTATGCTTTAATCCTGCCTAAAATATTAGTGTATGTGTATGTATACACATACATTCAGAGACACAGACACATATATGCATCCGTACACATACAGAAATATATATACAGTGTACATCTATAGCTATATCTGACTATAAGTCTTTCCATCTCTCTCTCTCTCTCTCCAGTGTGTGTATGTGTGTATACATACACTTACACACACACATATATACACACACGCATTCATATATTACATACACACACACACAAAGAGACTTAATTGCAATTATGGTTACAAAACAAATATCCTTCACCATAGTTGGATAAACACTCAGACACACATACACGCACACTGTTTTTGTTCAAGTAATTTCATCTGTACTGATAAAGGCATCCAGAAAATAAAACCAAAAGAGAGTGAAAACCAGGCCCGCTCATAATAATTCTTCATTTTAGTCTATCAGAGAGAGAGAATTTGGGAAAAGCCCAGGAAGAACTAGAATGTGAGGGTTCTCTTCCTCAGGCTAATAAAACTGAGTTAGGTAAGTAAGCTTCCAGCATTTAACAGATTATAATTCAGGACATATGTGGGGAAGACACATCCGGGAAGCAGAGAGACAAGCAGAGAGACAATCTGGCCGCTTCCAAAGATGGAATTTTGAAAGTGATTTATAAGCAGGCCTTTTGCAATGAAAATAAATAATAAATTTGATTGGGCTGGCAGCATAAGCCGCTCTTCCCTTCCCAGTTACCATGTCTCAGGCAGACCTTGTTTATCTGTGATGTCCCAGAGAGATTCCTTCCCCAATTCACAGCTCAGCGGCGAATGGAAGCACTCCCCACCCATCCACCCCCCCGGACTTCAAAGAATCTCTGAAGTCCAGGAACATAGTTAGGGTTGTAATAAGGTTGGAGTATAAATCATAACATAGACATTTGAGCTTCCTAATGCGACGTTTCTCACCTTGCTTACATCGATTGTTGCCAACAGTAGTAAGTCTGAGGCAGATCCTGGAGACAGGAGTGAGAAAGGGAACAGCTTTCGCTGTGCAACCTGCAATCAGCTGTTTTATACCGAAAGGGGCCTGAACAGCCACATGTGTCTCTGTGGTGAGCAGTGGCAGCCTCCGTCAGGGAAGGAAAAACAGCAGGTAAAGGGAACATCACCTTGGTAAATGAATGTTTGTTGTCACGGATGCTGAAGGACCCCGTGAAAAGGAGGAGGCCATCGCGGAGAATGAATCCCAACGTTTTCGTCTCGATTCTGCTCTCTGTGGGGTCCTTGGTGATCTCTGAACTTGGCGGTTTTCCTGCAGACGTTTCATGACCCAGCTAGGGAACGTCATCCATGCTAGAGGGCAGCGAGATTTGCTCTCTTTTTTTATAAACCCCACCCGCTTCTAACACTGATGATGTTCCTTAGCTGGGTAATGAAACGTCTTCAGGAAAACAACCAAGCTCAGAAAGCATCAAGGACCCCACAGTCCTCCGCCACCACCTCCTGCCCCACTTCCCCTACAAACTTCACTAGCACTGACGAGGTTACCTAGTTGGGTCATGAAATGTCTGCAAGAAAACCACCAAGCTCCGAGAGCATCAAGGACCCCACAGTCCCCCCGTCGCTCCCTTCTCGTTGTTCCTCCTCTTCCTTCTCCTCCCCCTCTTCCTCCTCCTCCCCCTCTTCCTCCTCCTCCCATTCCTCTTCTCCACTCCATAAACCCCACTCCCTACTAGCACTGATGAGGTTACTTAGTTGGGTCATGAAATGTCTGCAAGAAAACCACCAAGCTCCGAGAGCATCAAGGACCCCGCAGTCCCCCCGTCACTCCCTTCTCGTTGTTCCTCCTCTTCTTCCTCCTCCCCCTCTTCCTCCTCCTCCCATTCCTCTTCACTCCATAAACCCCACTCCCTACTAGCACTGATGATGTTACCTAGTTGGGTAATGAAATGTCTGCAAGAAAACCACCAAGCTCAGAGAGCACCAAGGACCCCACAATCTTCCTCCTCCCTTTCCCCTTCCCCCTCCTCTTCCTCCTCTTCCTCACACACCCCACTCCTTACTAACACTGATGGTAGGTCATGAAATGTCTGCAAGGAAACCACCAAGCTCAGAGAGCACCAAGGACCCCCACAGTTCAGCCCTGGGCTACAAATATCCCCCCCCCCTTTTTTTTTATTGGTAGCCTGCTTCACTGCATTCCTTACCTTGGATCCCCAGATCTTTGCTAAGGTTTCCAGAAGAAGTCTGCATGCTTTGTTTCTTATTTCTGATCAAAGCTATTTTTTAAAACTCAAAATATTGCCAGGATGTATTCAGGGAGACAAAATGCCAAGAGAGATGTGCTGCTTTCATCCTCTTCCCAACAGTTGTACTGTAGAACTTCTTTTACTATTAAGCGCTTTTTTTTTTTTGGCCAGCAAAAGCTCCAGGCAGCTAATAATCCATGTAGAAAAAAAAACAACCCACTGCATTAAAAAGCGATGATGAACTTGCCAATGGGGGATAGGAAGCTATTTTAAAGAAGACAGTTGCACTAATGTGTGTGGAATGCTTCGATTGTTCCGAAATCGCTACACAAAATGTTAATATTTATTAATCTTCAATCCAGTCTTTTGACTGTTTATTTGAATGTATCCCGGCGTGGTTATTACTTAGGGTTGGCTTCCAGGAAGGTATGTCTAGAATGGAATATATTTAACTGCCAGTTAAATCGATCTAGGACTGCAGTTTTATAACAGCTTTGAAAGGGGGAACGTGAACAATTTGGTGTTTTTTTTTTTAAATTTCATTAGACATTCCTTCCACTTGGAAGGTTGAGAGTCCAATCCTAGGTAGTGGCAGACGTTTTTCTCAGGGCTCAAAGAGAAAATACCTGCTGCAAACAGAACTCCACCTAGGCATCAGGGAGGGCACCCGGCCAGTAAATTCTCGGCCCCATTCAGTCACCCTGATTCTACCCCGAATTAAGAAATTACCGGGTTGTAAAAAAAGAAAAAAGATATTTCTCTCCACTTGCCTTTTAAATCTTAAATATTTATTTCCAGAGTAAGTCTTTTGGAAAGACCAATACAGAATCTGGGACAGAAGGCAGGTAGTTTTCAATTGACCAGCTGTCATTTAGCGACCGTTCAAAGTTATGACAGAAGTTCCAACCCAATGCCCCTCCCCACCAGGTTATGTGATCGTGTTTCAGGCACTAGGCATTTTATGGCCACTTGCAAACATCACGTGCCTGCAATTTACAACTTTTTGGCTGAAAACCAGTGTTTACTTCCGATTTTCTCGGGCAAAAATACCCCATGACAAACAATGGGTTTGCTTAACTATTGCAGAGTCACTTACTGACCACTGCAATAAGGTCGTAAAATTGGGTCAGTCATGTGACTGTCTGCTTTTAGGATGGTCACGACTTATGACCGTAATGAGCAGGCTCCATTACGGTCATTAAGTTGAGGACTACCTGCAGTTTAAAAGAGCGAACCAGCGTTTACGTTACAGCTTGCAGTCTTATTGCCGGAATACATATCTCCTTTTTATATTTCCTTTTAAGGCCTATGAGGCAGAGCAGTTACATCCTCAGAAGTGGCCCTTCCAGGCAGCAGCGGTTCCTCCCGAAACGAAAAGATTTTTGGAAGATGGAGCAGTGGCCCCGATCGTAATGCCTGTCTCGGTACCCATAATGGCTGCCAACCAACAGCAAGTGGGTGGTGATTCCTAGTCTTAATTTTAAATTACAGAGATAACATGATTTGCTTTTAAGTTCTGGTTAACAACAGCAATTCATGGAATTCAACTTTCCATGTTGCGTAGCATGTGCAGAATTGGCCGTTTTGAAGAATAAGAAATGCACCGTTTTTTAAAAATTGCTTATAGCACTTAGACTTATATACCGCTTCACAATGCTTTTACATTCCTCTCTAAGCGGCTTGCAGAGTCAGCCATCTTCCCCCCAACAATCTGGGTCCTTGTTTTACTGGCCTTGGAAGGAGGGAAAGCTGATGAGTCCAACCTTGTGACGGTCAGGATTGAACTGCTGGCAGTGGGCAGAGTTCGCCTGCAATACTGCATTCTAATCATTGTGCACCGTGGAGGGGAGTGGGTGGAAGGAAGGAAGGAAGGAAGGAAGGAGGAAGGAAGGAAGGAGGAAGGAAGGAAGGAAGGAAGGAAGGAAGGAAGGAAGGAAGGAAGGAAGAGAAATACCACTTATATGATGCTTTACAGTGCTTTCCAGCTCTCTCTAAGCGGTTTACAGAGTCAGCATAATTGCCCCCAACAATCCAGGTCCTCCTTTTACCGACCTCGGAAGGACGGAAGGCTGAGTTCAACCTTGAACCCTGTCAGGATCGAACTCCAGGCTTGCAATACTGCATCTTAACCACTGCACCACCAGGGCAAGATAATATATGAAGCCCAGAGAGTTCTGTAAAGCAGGAATCTCCAACCTGGGCAACTTTACGACTTGTGGATTTCAGCTCCCAGAATTCTGGGAGTTGAAGTCCACAAGTCGTAAAGTTGCCCAGGTTGGAGACCCCAGCTGTTTATATATAAACCTAAATACTAAATGCTATTGCTATCTTGTAAGGGCTTATATCTGCCTGTGAGCTTGCCTGGGGAAGGGCTGAGAAACAGTGATCTGCCTAAAACCACCTAATCATGACCCAGTTGTGATGCAGGTCACCAGCATCCTGATTCGAGCTCAGCCATGTTTATGTCACAAGTCAAACCCCAAAGAAAGCAGGCCACATGTAGGCCATTACTTCTCCTCCTGGTTGGGCCTAGAAGTTCTCCCGGCTCTCTGCTTCACAGTGGCTCAGCTTCTTAAATTCCTCCACAGGGATTTCTCCGTCTTTCTTCTGTCCCTCCCAAAGAAAAGTGGAAGCATCATGTCCTCAGCAGATATGGTAGGCCTGCTGCTGAGTTAAAATCCAGCGGAGGAACAGAAACCTCCATTTTATAGTCATTTAGCGGGTGAAATTTAAGTGGGTGAAATGGAGTGGTGCGGTGGCCTAGAGGTGGAGTTCTCGCCTCACCATCAGAAAGCTGTGAGTTCAATCTTAGGTAGAAGTAGTAGATATTTCTCTCTCTGAGCACAGCGAGAAGGTATTTGCTGAACAAAACTCCGCATTGGCGACAGGAAGGGCATCCGGCCATTAAATCACTCTGTGGGTGAAATTACAGATTTGTATGTTTTAAAGGCTTCCTACATTTGCCAGGCCTGCCAGACAGCACTACCTTTTATCAATGCTAAGTGAGAGAGTGAAGTCCTAATTCAATAATGGGGAACTACTATAGCCCCTTTGTGACTTGTGGACTTCAACACCCAGAATTCCATGCTGGCTCAGGAATTCTGGGAGTTGAAGTCCACAAGTCATAAAGGGACCATAATCTCCCTCCCTGTCCTAGGTCAACATTTATAGATAGAAAGGCCGTAGCTGGAAGAACAGCATAGTGATGTCATAATCCCATCGCCAACGGAGTTGGCATTTTCAGTTTCCCTTCAGGATTGCAGCTTTCAGCCTTCTTTAAAGTACTTTTTTTAAATGAAAACTAGATTGTAGGAGTAATTCTCTTTTTATTTGGCTATTGATTCCCTTCCCCCTATGGTTATTCAGTGTCGAGTTTCTGAAATCCTCTGGGCATGGGGCAGGCGGTACAGATAAAGGATTTTCTGAATATGTCTGACAGGCTACAATTCCTAGGATTCTCTGGGGGAGATAACATTTAATGTGGTAAGAAATCTGATGTATTTGGTACTCTGGGTGGATCTTGATGGTTATTTGTCTTGGTAGACTGATATCAATAAAATATTTGGTTGTCGGGATTGGTTGTGGAGAAGAGAAAACCAATTCTGGTGGTTTAGGTATGTTTGGTCTAGTGGTTAAGGCACCAAGCTAGAAAGCAGGAGATTATGAGTTCAAGTCCTGCCTTAGCCATGAAAGCCAGCTGGGTAACTTTGGGCCACTCATCAGGAGACGGTGAGTTCTAGTCCCGCCTTAAGTATGAAGAAACAGCTGGGTGACTTAGAGATAGGTGACTCACCTGTCTCAGCCCAACCCACCTCACAGGGTTGTTGTTAATAGGGAAAATAGGAGGAGAACAATGTGTTGAATATGTTCACCGCCTTGAGTTATTTGTAAAGATAGTACAGGGCGGATAGTACAAATAAATAAAATAATTTTAAGACACGTCATAACAGTTGAGGCAGATTTATTTTCTGTCATTGCAAAGAACAGCGTAACTAGCGTAAAACTCGTAAGGCAAGTGATTTTAACTAAGCATAGGAGAAACTTCTTAGATGGGTGTAGTAGCCTCTCCTCACAATCAGGAGGCTGTGAGTTCAATCCTAGGTAGCGAACAGATATTTTCTTTCTCTGGGCGCAGTGAAAAAAAATCTGCTGCGAACTCCACATAGGCATTTGGGAAGGGCATCTGGCCAGTAAACGCTCGGCTCCATTCGGTCACCCTGAGTCCATCCTGATGCAAGTGATTACGGGGTCGTTAAAAAGAAAAGAAAAAAACAGAAGGTTCTTAAGTCAAAAACTGCTTGATAGTGTAAGTATAGTGGATTCTAGAGAAGCCAGAGCCAAGGCTGGACTGGATCCTATAATTGCAGGATCCCTGCATTGTAGCATTCCCACCTATAGTACACTGGGATTCTAGGTAGTCTTTACTAGCTTGAATAGTTGGGACAAAGATACGGTATTCCTTTAAGGATATACTACTTGTGCAGGCTACCTTAATTTTTGCTTTTCCAGTTGATCAATCTAAAGTCCTTGGCTCCATTTCTTTTGGGTCAGGTTAACGAGAAGGAAAGCCAGGATGATAAGGATCTCCAGGAGGGCATGCCCCCCAAGAAGAAGAAGAAGCGAGCTCACCCCAAATCCCTGCTCATCCCACCTCCTTCACCTGCTGGGAACGAGATTCAGCCTGGTACTGGGGGATGCTACCAGAGTAACCTTCGCTCCCCTGTCTTCCTCATGGACCATTTTCTTCAAGGCTTTATGCAGTGCTCTCCGTACACGCCACCCCCGATGCTCAGCCCCATTCGCGAGGGCTCCGGGCTCTACTTCAACACCCTCTACTCTACTTCGACGAATCCCACTCCTGTCTCGATGTACACCTCCGTTTTAGGTAATTTACCCGGCCCTCATCCTCTGGGACATTTGCATGAAGCTGCCCAATGTAAAATAAATCCACTATTTGTATCCTGCCCTCCTCCCTCCCTCCCTCTCTCTTTCCTTCCTCCCCTCCCTCCCTCCCTCTCTCTTTCCTTCCTCCCCTCCCTCCTCCCTTCCTTCTGTCCTTGCTCCCACCCCCTTTCTCTCTCTTCTTTCTCTCTTCCTTTTCCTTCCTTCCTTCCTTCCTTCCTTCCTTCCTTCCTTCCTTCCTTCCTCTCTCATTTATATAATGTTCCTTTTCCTGCTTCCAATCAGTCTCCCCCACAAAAAAAGAGTATAGTTCCGTCGTTATTTATCATAGTTATTGATAAAGAGTTACCCTGTGGTAAGGTGGGTGTCAATAAAATTTATAAATAAACAATCCATTGAAAATGGTCTACCCTCCCTGAACACCTGCATTTTTATCTCTCTTTTTTTTGCCTTTTGGGGTTTTTAAAAAATATGGTTTTTTTTGAAAAGCCTTGTGTTTGAACCCGTAAAAGAGCAGCGAAAAAAACTGAAGAAACCATCTGGGTTCAATCCTTCATCCTGCTTCTGGGGTTGCAGATGACAATGATAAAGAGAAGAGAAAGATTCCATAAACGTTGATTTTGTTTCTAACTTATGCTTTTATTTTTAGATGGAATGGATGGAGCCCTTTTATTCTCTCTTGTGAAAGATACTACCAAAATTAACATAGAACCGTAAGTGACATGACCACAGTGTTACTCAGTGGTTGCAATAACACCTCAATGTTCTCTCCTTTTTTGATGATGTGTAGCTTTAGCAAGCACAATATTCCAACTGTCGTAACTATTCCATTTTTTTCTTCCATGTATTCTCTGTTCAAATCTTCTCCTCTTGGCTTTTTTATACACATGTTTTTATTCTTTTAGCCTCACAAGGCGATTTGCAAAAAACAAAAGACAAACTTGACAACACAATTGAAAACAGGAAAAAACAACAACCCAGCAACAAGCCTGTGAAAAGCTGGCAAAATCAAGATGGCCTGGACTTTGTTTTTTAAATTTATCAGCGATAAGCCTCACTTTTAGGAGAGGACCTGTAATCAGGATGCCTCCACTGAGAAAACCTTCTCTGGTCTCATTTGTGTCAATTAAAAATTCACCCGTTAAGAACCCATCTCCTGTCCTAATGAAATTATCTCATAATTTCATTAGGCGATTATCGTTGGACTGCCTTGGCATGGTGCTTTGCTTGCATTGTGACACGAAAAGAAGTGCTCTTGCAAGATGGAAGTATTACCCTGATGGCATTAAAAAAGATTGCTCTGTGGTTAACTCTCCTAATTTAAATAAACAGTATCCTGTTTCCTCAAGGAAAAAAACAGTCCATTTGCCCTCGGGTGGGTGGGGAGCAATTTTGAAACAACTATGACCTGGATGATTAAGAATCTCCACCAACAGTTTTCAAGACCTAGAGAACCTAGAACTATGCCGTCTTCGGTCTGATTTAAGCATGGTATATAAAATCATACATTGCAATGTCCTACCTGTCAATGAATACTTCAGCTTCAACCATAACAACACAAGAGCACACAATAGATACAAACTCAAGGTAAACCGCACCAAACTTGATTGCAGGAAATACGACTTCAGCAACAGAATGGTCAATGTCTGGAATCCTCTACCTGACTCGGTGGTTTCTTCCCCAAACCCCAAAAACTTTAACCTTAGACTGTCCACTATTGACCTCACCCCTTTCCTAAGAGGTCTGTACTGTCCCTGTCCTATTGTTTCTTTTATATATTTTTTATTTTTCTTATATGTATCCATGTATTAATAACTATTAATAACTTCTTCTTTTTCTTTTTAATAGTTAACCTCCTCATTCATGTTTTTTTTTTTTTAAAAAAAGAAAGGAATTACGCTGTTTCACATCTCTTTTCTGTTATTTCAGGCACATTAACATCGGAAGCCGATTCCAGGCGGATATACCCGATCTCCAAGACAGATCGAATATAGAGGAGTATGAGCACCCAGCCTCGCTAGTCTGGAAGCCCTGGGGAGACATCGTCACCAACAAGGAGACCCAGAAAAGAGGTGTGGGGGCAGTTTTCCCCATCTTTGATGCTCTTCCCACCCTACATGCACACACTTCTTTGTCTTCTACAGGCAGTCCTCGACTTACAACCACAATGGAGCCCAAAATTTTTGTTGCTAAATGTATTAAGTCAGTTTTGCCCCCATGTTACGGCCTTTCTTGCCACAGTTGTTAACGCGATTCACTACAGTTGTCAAGTGAGTAACACAGTTGTTAAGTGAATCTGAAAAGATGAGATCGCATGACCCCAGGACACTGCAACCATCATAAACATGAGTCAGATCAAATGCCAAGTGGCTGAATTTTGATCACATGACCGTGGGAATGCTGCAATGGTCGTAAGTGTGAAAAAACGGGTCATAACTCGCTGCTTCTCAGTGGCTGTTGTAACTTTGAGCGGTCACCTCAAATGAACTGTTGTAAGTCGAGGACTGCCTGTGTAGTTGTCATTCCTGCTGAGCAGAACTTTTTAACAAGTCCTTTTAAAAACGAATTCACTTGCAGTGGCAGATCTGCTAAAGTTGGCCTGCTCCAGCGCGATGCCAGGCGGAGGGACCAATTTAGAACTAGCCATACATTGTCTGCACGAAGCCCAAGGAAACATTTTGGTAAGATGCTGGGATGGAATTCTCCAGCTGGACTGGAAAGAAAAAAGAAAGCTAACCTTTATTGACACTTTTTTTTTTCTGTGAACACACTGGCACATTAAGAAAAAAAGAAAGAAATCCTGAAAAGGAGTCCCTGTAGATTTTACTCCGCTGATCGTTGCCGTATGTGGCCAGCATGACATCGTAGAGCGCTGTTTCCTCCCCACCAAAGTGGTACCTGTTTATCTACTCGCATTTGCATGCTTTCAAACCACTAGGTGGGCAAGACTAGGCAGAGACGGGCTCTCACCCCATCGCATGATGCTCAGGTCTCAAAGCTGGGCTGTCAGCTTTCCAGCTGACAAGCCCAGCATCTTAATCACTGAGCCAATGGAGGGAGGTGTTAAGAGGGTGCCAAGCTTAGAGTTCTAGCACTGCAGACACCGGTATCGGCCTGATCTCCTCCAGAGTCCCTGAAGCCTTATCTGACTGTTCCCAAGTCTGACGAGATTCTTGTAACAGCCGACTAGCAGCACACAACTTCTGTTTGGTAAGATTCACCACAAGTGGTTCTACTTGCTTGCGCCTGACATATACACTGGTTAAAACTTTGAGCAAGCCTGTTTTTTTATGTTATATTAAACATAGTATGTTGATGGCACGTGTAATAATAACCCCAAAGCAAATGAATCATATTCAAGCTTAACATAGTGTGGGGATCTCTAAACTTGGCAACTTTTAAGATGTGTGGACTTCAACTCCCAAAATTCCTCAGCTAATCATGCTGGGCTGGGCAATTCTGGGAGTTGAAGTTCACAAGTCTTAAAGTTGCCAAGTTTGGAGACTCCTTACATAGAGCATACACCCATATCATCTTAAGGTTTCCCCAACTGTTTAACAATCGTCTTCTCTAAAAACAATTCTAGGAAGCGCTGGAGATGATGTTACTCCAAGGGCCACAGAAGCTTCCTGGCCATCCTCTTGCTAACTACCATTACTCAGGTAAAAGCAGTTGACCTCAGTTGGTCAGGATACATAGCCATGGGGTTAAGATATTTCAATTTAGCAGCTGGAGCAGGGGAATTGTACAGTCAGCCAGAATACACCGTTGTGGTTGATTGGGTGGAGGCGGAGGGGGAATTTCTGAGCTTGGTTGTTTTGTGGCAGACGTTTCATGACCCAAACTAGGTAACATCATCAGTATTAGCAGTAGAAGCAGTAGCAGGAGGTATTTAAAGTTAGCTGGAGCAGTGGGGTTGTGTGCAGTGAGCCCATCTCTGTTTTCTTCTAGGACAGGGGTGGGCAAACTTTTTGGCTCGGGGGCCTCATTGACTTTTAAAATTTGACAGATGGGCCGCCACCGGGTGTCGAAATGCCTGACATTACAAGTCAAAATCAAATGAATGCAATCATTCAATCATTCACATCAAACCTTAATTCTGTACCAATCTTCGGCGGGCCGGATTAAAAAGACCAACGGGCCGCATGTGGCCCGCGGGCCGTAGTTTGCCCACCCCTGTTCTAGGATGTCAACTTTTTTGGATTGAGGGCTTTGTACCTAAATTTAAGTACTTAAATCTTTTAAGACCCTTTCCCTTTTCCCATCATTCTTGATTTTATGTGGGGAAAAGAATCCACTTCTTAAAAACGGGAAAAGGAAAATTACAATTTGGGCATTCATTGTAAAATCAGTGATATTTGCCAAGGTGAAGTAACTCCTTGGAAGAAAAAGAAGACTTCTAGGTTTAAAAATTAGGAGTTAGGAAATAATAAAAAGGGATGTCAGTTAATTTAACTCTTAATTTAAGTTTAAATTTCAGGGGACATTGGACATTCTGTCCACTACTCAGACAGGAAACACCTTCTACTGCTGAGTTTCTTTTACTGGGAAATGTGAATTGGTTCACCTTTGTGGCTGTTAAATGTTAATTAATTAAAGCAAAACAGGCTCTTGAGTTTTTCAGAGGTATCGACGGACAAACTCGCTACGTGAGAAGGTTTTTCCCCAGGAAACAAAAATAAGCCAAAGGGAGGCAACAGAGAGGTTAATTTCATTAAACAGATCGTTTAGATCGCTAATTCATTTCTTGTTGGAATCTCAGGTTCACATCTGTGGACGCCTGCTGAGAAGCAGTTGTTCAAAAAATCTTTTGCCTTGCACAAAAAGGACTTCTACCTCATACAGAAGAAGGTAAGGCTTTCCACCAAAGGGGTGCTTTCATTTCCTCTTTCAAAGGTATATCCTTTGTTTTGAATATCCCAGCTTTCCTGTTCCCTTTACAATCCATTAATTGTCCTCAGGTCACACAGCTTAGTGCAGTGGTGGCTAATGTTTTTACCTCACTGCGCATGCACGCGACCCCCCCGCCCCAGCTGATATTTGGCCTGTTTGAGGCTTTTTCGGCCTACCAAAGGCTTGATTGAGGAAAGCTTCTGCAGCCTTTGCAGGCCAAAAAATGGGCCTGTTTAGCCACTTCCGGTATTTCCAGAAATAGAGGAAGTGACGAAACAATCCTATTTTTCGGCCTGCAAAGGCTTTCCTGAAGCCTCTGGGAGGCCAAAAAAGGCCCCCAAATCAGCTGGAAGTGCATGCACAGTGAGGTAAGCTTGCCTGTGGCTTGCGTGCTATAGGTTCGCCATCACGGGCTTAGTGGCTTGCTTACATTAAGAGCAGCTGAGGTCACTTTTGTCACAAGGACTCCTTGACTTACAACGGTTCCTTCTGTGATCGTTCAAAGTTATAATGGCAGTGGCGGGGGAAAAAAGGGACTTAATGGCCATTTTTTCACACTTGTGACCATTGCAGCATCTCCACAGTCCCATGATCACAATTCAGAAGCCTGGCAACCGACAGTTATTTGGGGGGGGGGGGGTTGGGTTCACGTGATCCCCCTTTGCAACCTTCTGGCAATGGGAAGCCGGATGGACCTAACCGCCGTGTTACTAGCTGTACCACCGCAGCGATTCCCTTAACTGTGAAAAGAAGGGCCGTAAAATGGAGCAAGATTCACGACAAAACTGTCCTGCTTAGCAGTGGAAAGGTTGGGCTCCCCCCTTGTGATTGTCGGTTGAGGACTTCCGGCCCCTGAATCCTAAACCTGATCCCAGACCTTTTTGAAGGCAGAAGGACGTGCAAAGAAAGACCACATCTATACCTTGTTCCAGGGCTTCAAAAAATTTTAGCAAAGGGTTCTCTGCCTGGTTGCTGGGTGGGTGTGGCCATGCTGGGCATGGCCTAATTGGCCTCCTGTACCACAGCGGGGGTGTGTGTGTGTGTGTTGTTGTTGTCCTCCCCAGGCTCCAGAGGCTTTCCTAGAGCCTCCGGGGGGCGGAAACAGCCTCCCCGGGCTCTGGAAGCCGGAAACAGGCCCATTTCCGGCCTTCCCAAACTTCCAGGAGGCCAGTTTTTCGCCCTCCCTGAGTTCCCATGTGTGCCCTCCCCCTACCTGCATCCAAAAAGTTGGGGACTCAGGGGAGGGGAGGGGGGCGGGCAGGGCCAGCCAGGGGTGGGATTTCCTGGTTCGCCAAACTGGCAATAAAATTAGATGCCGGTTCGCCTGAACCAGTAGCAGCCCATCCCTGCCTTGTTTGTTTAGCCCAGGGGGGTCCCCAAACTTGGCCACTTGAAGACTTGTGGATTTCAACTCCAGCCAGAATTCTCCAGCCGGCTGGGAGTTGAAGTCCACGAGTTGCCAAGTTTGGAGACCTCTGGTTTAGCCCTTTAAAAAGGATGCCTTCCATTTTGCCCCCATTGGAACGATTTCTTCTTCCCTCCTCCTCCAATAGATACAAACTAAAACTGTTTCCCAGTGTGTCGAATACTACTACAGCTGGAAAAAAATATTGAAGTTTGACTGCAACCGAGCGCAAGGGGGAGAAAAGAGACCCCGGACCGAGCAGGATGAGGCGGAATTGGATGAAGAAAAGGTAGAACAAGATTGAAAAAGTTGGTTGGGAAGCGACAGCTGAGATTTAGGAGATGGATTTTAAAAAGCTACATTCCCCCCTCCCCCCTTTATACTGTATCCGCCGCTTACTTTAGAAAACGAGGAATTCATCCCGCCCAATTTCCAGGGTCCTGCAGGAGGGGATTTCCCTGATCTGATTCCCTCTTTCCCTTTTGTGAAGCTGTCGGAATAAATATTTGTTCTGTAAAAATTCAGTGGTATTTTCCGTATTTGTATTTTGCAATCCAGACAGTGGTTCTTTCCACACCGTTGCAGCTTGTTGACTTTCAGGTTAATGTTGTTGCAGCTCCTTTACGGCTCTATGGGTTCCTCATAAACTGTTAAGAATGGGGACTGCCTGGTAAATTAGAAGTGACTGTACCCATTGGAAGGCAGCACCCTTCAGTTTTCCAAAATCACTGGCGAATTGATTTTATTTTTTTATCCTTCAAATAAAAATGGGGGCTTTCACAGGAATCCAAACCCTGTCCTAGAGCCATATTCCAAACGTAAATAAAATTGGAGGTGAATATACATGGCCCAGGATAATCTTGCAGGATGCAATCTGGGTCAGTTCCTGGGATTAGAGGTTTAGTCTTCTGGGAGCCTCTCTCTAGCAGAGTGTGTGCTTTGGGCTATGAAACACCACCCACAGAACAGCCCAAAGCGCACACACACACTGCTAGAGAGAGAAGTTCCAAAAACTCAGAAGACAAAATCTCTGGTCCCAGTGTCTGACCCCGATTGGATCCTGCAAGAAACAAAAGTCTGAAACGCAAAATACCATCTGGCTGTTGTAAGAATGCCATGACCGAATGATTGATTGGTTTGCAGATGATTCTGATATTGGTGCACCTGTGTGGCAGGTGAGCACAGGGTTTGATAATTGTGCTGTTATGCTTTTTCCCCCTGTGGTCAGTGGGAAACAATTTTGTTTTCTCTGCACCTGTTAACCATCCTGGTTAAAAACAGAACTACAGGTAGCAATGGACCAAATCCCCCATTCATCTACTCTACTCTATTTATTTTACTAATTACTAGAATAGAATAGAATAGAATAGAATAGAATAGAATAGAATAGAATA